CTGGAAGGGCCAAAATATCCTCCACCGTGTACACCGCAAATGGTGCGTTCGACGGCACCTGCAAATCAGGATGAATCCCGACCGGTGGAGGAGGAGGAGGCGGAGGAGGTGGCTACTGAGACCGGGATGAACCACCCTGAGTCTCGGGAACTCCCGAAGATGAACCACCGGGAGCTGACGAAGACGAACCGGGCCCAAATAGATCTCCATAATGAATCCCCTGATCTAGAGGCCTCTTCCACTGAGCAGTAGCAACTTTGCTCTTTCTAACCATCTAAATTTTTAAAAAAAAAACAGAAAACATTAATTCTCGTATAATTTTGTATAATTTTTAAAAACAGTTAAACTAACATAATCTAAATTTCCTAATCTAACGAACTAATCTAAATTCCCTAAATTAACCACCTAATCTAAATTCCCTAAACTAACCACCTAATCTAAATTCCCAAATCTAACCACCTAATCTAAATTCCCTAATCTAATCACCTAACTAGGAAATAGAGAGTACCTTAAGAGAATATGGAGAGGAGGTTACTATGAATGAGAAATCGGTTGCTCGTGTATATATAAGGAATTTTGTTTCCTCGTAAAGCCCTAGTAAAATTACTAGGGCTTTACGAAGAAACAGCTATGCCTGTGTTTTCATTTCCTCGTAAGGTCCTAGTAATATTCTAGAAATAAGATTACTAGGACTTTATGAGGAAACATCTTTACGAGGAAATAGCTTTGAACAACGCAGACTTTTTATCTGATGAAAGTCTGAATATTGGAGCTGGAACTTGCCCATATTTATATGTAGCTCACTCCTTGAGCAGATATCGGGTAAGTCTAACCTCGATTTTACGTTGTCTTTCGTCTTCCCTGGGACGTTCAATATAGTGTTCATGATGTTCTCAAAAAAGTTCTTCTCTATATGCATCACATTGAGGTTGTGGCGCAAAAGAATATCTTTCCAATATGGTAATTCCCAAAATATACTCTTTTTGTGCCAATTGTGCTGAACACCATAAAAATTAGGCATATTACTGGGAACATGCCAATTCCCACCACGAGGAGCTGTTTCTAGAGCACAGTAGTAATCGATTTGCGCTTCGATTTGTTCTCCTGTTAAATATGGAGGAGGAGTGTCTCTGACAACCCTTTTGTGCATGAACAATTTCTTGTTTCTTCGGTATGGGTGGTGGATGGGAAGAAACCGACGATGACAATCGAACCAACTAGTCTTCCTACCATGCTTCAACTGAAACGCATCTGTCATTCCATTACAATATGGACAAGCTAATCTCTCATGTGTAGTCCACCCAGACAACATACCATATGCAGGAAAGTCACTTATGGTCCACAAAAGCATCGCTCGCATCGTAAAGTTGGTTTTCGTTGAACAATCATATGTCCTCACCCCTGTTGACCACAAATCTTTCAACTCTTTTATCAGTGGTTGTAGAAAAACGTCGAGAGATCTTTTTGGATGTTTAGGACCAGGTATTAATATGCTCATGAATAGAAACTCTCGTCGCATGCACATCTCTGGTGGCAGGTTATACGGTGTAAGAAAGACCGGCCACAATGAATATTGTCTCTCAGACATTCCAAATGGACTAAATCCATCAGTGCATAATCCAAGATACACATTCCGGCTATTGCTAGCGAAATGTGGATGTACATTGTTAAAATGTTTCCAGGCTCTTACATCTGATGGATGAGTCATCTCTCCATCCGTCTGAGTATGCTCGGCGTGCCATCTCATCCCTCCAGCAGTCTCCTCAGATTGGTACAATCTTTTCAATCTGTCTGTGATTGGTAGGTACCACATCCTTTGGTACGGTACCCTATTTGCGCCCTCGACCTTGCGGTTTGAATCGTGGCTTCTTACAAAATTGACATTCTTCTAACTTCTCATCATCTCCCCAGTAAATCATGCAGTTGTCGATGCAAACGTCTATCATCTCCGAGGGCAACCCAAGACTATATACCAATTTCTGAATCTGATAATAAGATTCAACAGACACATTGTCTTCTGGCAAATACTCTTTAAACAAGTCTGCCCATGCATCCATACAATTTTCAAGTAGATTGTGATCGGTTTTAATACTCATCATTCTAGCAGCCAACGACAATTTAGATAGACCTTCTCTACAACCACTGGAAATTGGCTCATTTGCAGCTTCTAACATTTCGTAAAACCTTTTTGCATCTAAGTTAGGTTCTTCAACTTCATCATCATCATGAGTTACAAATGCATCACCTACCATATCATGAACCCTATCACAATCTACCATTTGTTCCTCTTGGTGATGATAGCTATAACTACTGCTACCTTCATTACGCAAATGATCAACCGGTTCAACTTGATTACTACTGCTACCTTCATTCCTACAACTAGCATCTTCTCCATGTTGATACCAAATATAATAATATGGCATGAAACCTCTATTTATTAAATGCTTCCAAACATTTTCACGAGAGCCTAATTTGGTATTGCAGCATTTTTGACTAGGACAGAACATCTTACCACTTTCCTGCGCGTGAGTGGTGTAGAATCTGCTTGATGCATAAACGTCTCCAACCCTTCCAGAAATTCTTTCGTCACCCTCCCGTTATTATCTCTCTGTGAATACATCCACTGCCGCAACTCGAAAATATTTCCCGGACCGGACATTTTTTGTGTTTGATCAAGCTTATAGCTGATTTTTTTTTGGTGTGTTTCAAATGAATCACATAAGGTGGTATTTATAGAAATTTTCGAATCTGAGCATTTATTAGGAAATTGCTAGGAAAAGTAGGTACAAAACACGTTTTTTATTTAAATTCGATATTTTCTATCCAGGTCCTCCTAATTTCTTAGTAATAAAACGGTTTTCTCCAAATTTCGTAGTAAACCTTTACTATGATTTTACGAGGAAACGTAATACTACGGCTTTACGAGGAACTGTACGTTTTCCTCGTAAGCTCCTCGTAAAATTACTAAGGTCTTACGAGGAAAACGTTTTCTCGTAATATTATGAGGATCTTACGAGGAAATTTGATTTCCTCATAAACCCGAAGTAAAGGCTTAGTAATTTTACGAGGAACAATTTTCCTAGTAAACTTTCCTAGTAAAGGTTTAGTTTTCTTGTAGTGACTTATGAAAATGGTTCAATTATCAAATTTAGTATTCCATTAATTTTTTATATATAAATTTCATTCTACGCATTAGTGCAGATAATCACCTAGTACATATTTAAATGATAGGGTATAAAATACTATCATCTGTAATCAATGCAATTCCATAGTATTTAAAAATGAATAATTAACAAGCTCACAATCTCACATGAGAAGATATCCTATTTTTTTTTAGATGATTATTTCTTAAACACGTAATTCTCATAAGAACCCCCAATCAAATCAAAATAAATAAACGTAAGATACAAGACTCCATCTCGTGCACAAAACTCACAACATAAATTGAAGGCGTGAAGCTAAGAGATGCATGCTTGACCCCTCTTGTTCCATATAAATAAGAGATGGAGTGTTATTATTACAGTCATTCATATAACTTTGTTTATGAGAGTTAAAAAAATAACTAAACAAAAAAAAGTTGTTGCTGATCCTTCAAGGAAAGAAGAACTTGAATTTTAATATAGGATGCCAAAGGTTAATGATGACTCCTACTTTTCATTCTTCTACTTCCCAATTATGCCTTAATTAAAAAAGATGATGATGCTACCAACTAATGGAAATGGTAGTAATTAAGTATCTTATGCATGGGACCAAATTATCTTATAATTTCTAATTAGTAGTTTAGGTAAAGCATAAACTCAGCCTGTTTACCTTCACAACACACAACCTTGTGGTTTTTGGGGTCAAAAACAAGATTGGTTTTGACAAAAAAAATTGAGACTTTTTGCGTATAGAAAAGAAAAACCAAAAGATTGTAGGACCATAGAGAGGTAGGGAAAAGTATTTATATCATGAGAAATCATATTGTTCCCTATGTAAATGTCTTCTTATCTTTTTCACCACCCAAAACTAATCCCAAGCAACAACCACTTCATTTCACAATCACCTTATAAATACCAAACCTTATATCAAAGTCTCAACAAACACACCAAACTAGCCCCCACCTGCTCAACGACTTATAACCTTTCTACATTTTCAGCAAACAAACTGAAGCTGAGTGAGAAAAATGAATACAAAGACTTGCCTCGTTTTCTTCTTCTCTTCTCTAATCATCACAAACATAGCCTTAGCACAAGACCGAGCCCCTCACGGGTTGGCTTATGAGACCCCAGTGGCGTTTTCACCTTCTGCATTTGGCTTCTTTCATGCACAACCACAAAACCAGGATGTCACTTTAGAGCCTTGCGCTGAATCAGGCTGTTCGCCTCTCTCAATGGCTGCAAAGGTTCAAGGAGCTTCTGAAAAAGCACAGCAAAGCGAGGTAGCAACAATGTCAGTTGGTTCGAGAAGGGGAATGGGAGCTTGTGGTGTGGTTGGGATCATCTTTGGACTTGCGTTTCCCATGGTTATGTGAACCGTTCTAGTTCCATTCAACCTATTGTTTGAGCTTATATTATGATAGATTATATAGCTAGACTTTGAGTTTAATGTGTGCTTTTTTCTTCACTTTTTCTTGAAGCTTGTATTTATATTTCCATATGCAGTAGTGGTTAATAGCAAAGTATTCGACCCCGTTGAGGGTATAAGCGACCATGGCTACTGATCTCATATACATTGCTCTAAAGTCTGGATTATTTTTTGAAATATATATCTTATAATTATTAACAAAAACATATCAAAAATCATATCAGCATGCTATAGCGGATTTTGAGTCGGCATCTAGTAAAACATAAACAACTCTAAACTGAAACTGAAGAGTGTGACACGTGAGCATATGTGCGCTGACACGTGCAAACTCGCTATTCAGCCGCTCATCACGTGTCCCTCTTTCAACTCTCGACCGCTCCCGCTTTTAAGATTAGTTCTCTCCTACTACACGAGGCATTTTTCCTCGAAACATCATGGAGAAGAAGGAGAAGAAAATCGACGAATCAAAGCCGCCATTGATGGCGTTAAACCATGTATCAAGACTCTGCAGAGACGTCAAGAAGTCTCTCGAGTTCTACACGAAAGTGTTAGGGTTCGTGGAGACAGAGCGTCCCGCGTCGCTCGACTTCGAGGGAGCGTGGCTATTCAACTACGGTGTTGGGATCCATTTGGTGCAGGCTAAAGACGAAGAGAAGCTACCTTCAAACACTGACCATTTGGACCCGATGGATAACCACATCTCGTTCCAGTGCGAAGACATGGAAGCTTTGATAAAGAGGCTCAAGGAAGTGAATGTTAAGTACATCAAGAGGACGGTCGGTGAGAAGGAAGACGCAGCTATCGACCAGCTCTTTTTTAATGACCCGGATGGTTTCATGGTCGAGATTTGTAACTGCGAGAATCTTGAGCTTAAACCGCGTGATTCAGCTGATGCTATACGTCTCCCTGGAGATAGACACGCGCCTCCTGTTTCTCTCCCTGGCTCGTCCGACCATGAAGATGATACTAGGCGCCCTCAGGCCAATTCTTAATACTAGTGTACTACTACTTAGACTTTGTTTTGTACTTGTTCCTGTTTTTGTGCTACGTTACTGCTCTATTAATTAATGTTGTTTTTTTTACCACGAACTCCATCCAATAGTCACCGTTGGAAACTGTGTGTGAGGTTCAAGAATTTAGCGGCGGCCGCCACTTTAGCCTCTCAGAACTAGAAGAAGAAACCTGAATAAGTGAATGCAAGAATGAGAATCAAAACAAGAAGAGTCATAATAAGGTATCAACTAGGACCACCATTTCAAACTTTCAGTTAATGAACCGAGGCTACACAAACAATAAGCTGTAAGCAGAAGCCACAAGTTTTAAACCTGAATACGTGAAGTATGAGTTTTGTGAAAACTTCTGGAGATTTGGAAGCATATAGGGAAATCAAGGTAATCAACAGGCTCATCGACTGTTATCACACCCTCCCTTGAAAGATGTTGAACTGCTATTGCCTTAACGAAAACAATAAATTTTAAAAGAATTAACAAGTACCTAAAATTTCCAAGCATTAGATTTCGTTTGGCTAAACAAACTTTAGGTTTTTGGCTAGTGCCCGTGGCATCAGTGATTCAAGGAACTTCTCCACAAGCACAGAAAAGCTAGATAGCATCTACCACTCCAAGTGGTTCTGTGAGGAGCTGATATTATAGTTCCTTTCAGCCTGGTTCTTGAGCTGATATTAGAGAGCCATATAAAGCTAAATTCCAGTTGAAACGGCTTTTTTCAGTTTTCGTGAAGCTTGTTTCTAAATTTCCTTTTGATCATATATGCCGCATTCTACTGTTTTATGGCATGCTCAAGTATTGATCACATTCACCACCTGTCAATTAAGAATTTAAATCTAACAGAATACGATGGGAGGAAAGGTCAGAGCATCTTAATCAGTAGACCAAACAGCCAAATAACAAATCAAAAGACATCCTCAGTAAGCACAACAACACTCTGCTCAACAAAGTAGAGCAAAACAGGAATATTGAAGATAACATCATAAAATTGTAACAATAACCAAACAATAAGTAGAAAAACAGGGCAAAGATGGATCATGTCGAAAAGTTTTCAGCGAAAGTATGTTGGTATCCAAGTCTCTCTACCATTTACGAGAACTAAGGTATTGAATGGCAGGCTCAAAGGTCTGGTCCACAGCTTTGTTCCACACAGATGCAAACTCCATCCGATATTTCTTCCCGAATATGCGATCCCTCCTCACCTGCAAAACATCCCAAATTTTGATCTCTAAACTGTAACCATAAATTCATATCAGAACCCTTGCAAATCAAGCTAGTCTATTATATCAATGCCTTAAAAAAAAAACTTTTCTAATTCCAAAATTGGTTAGCCTAAACCGGAACCGAGATAATCTCATCAATCCAGAAATTGAATTAAAAAAGGATTAACCTGAGATTGATCGACGGATTGAGATTTACGATCGGCGACGGATTCGTGGATGAGTTTTCGCTGCTCAAGAACGATGAACCCTGTCAAGGCGCTACCCAGCGTGAACCCGAGAAGACGCTCCTATACACGAATAGATTCGAATTGTCAAAAACAACATTTACAATAGATTCGAAGTAATGAAATATCGATTCTTTGGAATCTGGAGTTCTGAGATGAAAGAGTAAGAAGACCTGAGCGAGAATGCTGATCATGGTGAGACTCTCTCTCTACCTAGGTAGGTTTGATTTGCGTGGAACGGAAAGGGATTTTTCTTTTGTTAATTTCTTCTCCTCAAGGAAGGAATTGAGGAAGCGAGACGAGAAACACAGGTAGGCAGATTGTGGGTGTGAGCCAGGTATGGGCCGTAGCCCATTTTATCAATCAAGCACATATGCAACTAATTATTTACAATGATTTTTCCCTTCTCAACTCTCTCTTTAACAAAATTAGAGCTGTTAAAATCTAAACTATTCTTAATGGATAATTAGTGTTTCTAATATATCACTAATCACATATTAAAAACGCATTTTGATAACTACATAACTATCATTATCTAAATCTAGTTTATATTTTGTTTAAAATATTTATTAACCTTAATGAATAATTAAATTTGTTAAAATATAATTAACCATATATTAAAAATAATTTAATTTATTTAATAATTATTATTATTGTATAAAATATTCTATATTGTGCTATCCACAAATTAATTTTACATCATAATTTTATTATAAAAAGATAAATTTATATATATATATATATATAATTTTATGTGCACATGAGTGTTTTTATGTTTATTTATGTATGAAGAAAAAATTTATATATATAAAGAATTTTTTAATTTATTATTAAATATTCGAACATATGAACAATAATTTTATCCTCATAATATTTTAATTGATAATATATCTATTTATCTTTATAAAATTATTAAGCACGTATAAGCGGACAAAACACCTAGTATATTTCTTATTACATAAAGTTTAGTTTTTCAAAATTGCTAATTAACATGATCATAACACATGACAATAAATAGTTTGAGATTATGAAATGTGTTAAATTATTTATCATAAATAAAAAATTAAGTAATAAATTTATTTGATAGTAATTTTATTTTTCTAGATCCTAAACAAAATATAATTGTAAAAAGCTATTCACAAGTAAAATTTCTTTTGTGAAATCCTAATTTATAGTTTTTGAATCCTACACAAAGAAAAAAAATAGTAGTTTCACAAAAAAATATAAAACAAAAGAGAACCGTGTATAAAATCCTACAAATTCAAGAAATTATTTAATGAAAACCTAAAACCAAAATGAATTATAAATCTTACAAATACTAACAAGAAAATCTATACCTAATCATAATTGTTTTTTATTTGAAAATCCTAAACAAAAGAGAAATGTAAAGGTAAATTTTCAATTATCTGTTTATAAAAGTTGTTATAGAAACATTCAACCACTTGTATTTATAAAATTGATGTTGTATATTCACTCTTAATAAAATATATGAGGTCATTTCAAACTGCGAAAAAATTGCCTAAATGCTACTAGATAAATGTGACGGCACAACACTTATACCAGCAAAATACAAGAGACAAAATCAAAACTTGAACAAAATTATTTTGTATTTCACAATTAATTGTACGTCACACTATTAATAGTCACTATAATAATTGGATTTCAATTTATTAAAACAAGCACAAAACATAACAATACTAATGCTCTAAGAATATCAAGAAATTTTTTTATTAATATATTATATATCGAGAAAGAGATGAACTTCAGACACCAAGTTAATGTTATGGTAAATAAGTTTGATATTTGTCCAACAATATATTTGATATTGAGTTGACAATCAAAACAATATTGATTCATATTAAGCATTAAGTATTTTGAATTGTGTTGTTTTAAACTATAGAAACAATATGGAAGGTTTACACCAATAGCCATTCTATATATTTAAATTACCTACAACTATTGTTATTTGAAATAATTTAAATTGAAAAAAAAATTAAAATTGAAATATTTATAAATTAAATAACGTTTAATAAACTATTAAAAATATATTAATCACTGAAACATAAATACTAATCAAAATTATGACGGAGTCAAATTTATTATTCATTAGTAAGTCTAACACCAACACATACAAAAAAAACTGAAATTGATGTTCAAAACCTTTTCAATCTTTTTAATTTTTCTTAAAAGAAAAATATTAAATAAAATTTTTGTTTATGCATGAGTCCATATCCCATATCTAGTCAAAAATAAAAAGGAGAGTCAAAATATTTTAGATAATTATGTCAAATCGTTAAAACATTTTTTTTATCAGATATATTAAAATTATGCTCTATTTTGTTAATATAAATTATTGCAAAAAATTTAAACAGTATTTTCTGTTTAAAATTTAGTTTTATAATTTTTGGTTTGATAATATTAGCTAAATTGTTTTTATCATTCTGTTGGTAAACCAATTTAGATAGCAATTTTCTAAATTGGATAAATACAAGAAAAAAATTGGTTAATTTGTTTATTTGACAAACTTCTCTATGCATAAGAAGAAAGAATGGAGTGGATTCTGCCAAATACTTCAATTTAATTATAAAATTTTGAAAAATGTGAATAAACATATTATTTTCCAAAAATAATCCTATACGTTGAATTTTGTGAGTATTCAATCTATTTTCACCTTGACAAGTAGGACTGGAACTTATTATCCGGAATCTCGGATCCGATTCGAGATCCACTCTGGATTCACACTGAAAATAGAATAAGCTTGAATGTCTGGATCTGAATCTGGATAGTAAAATTTGGATCTTTCCAAACGGAATCCAAATCCAATTCACAATTTTTAAATCTGGATATCTGAATCCGTGTTTCTAAAATATATTAACTTTTAGTTTTATTAATAATTATATTTGATATATTAATACTTATATACCACTTAGTCTTATAATATTTTATTTTAATTTTGATAATAATATATATCATAAATATATTTATCAACTGTGTATTAATATTTAGTTTATGTTTTATTTTTACAATTTTATATTTTTAAAATATTTTTTCCTTATTTTTTATTATTTTTATGGATCTAAATCTGAATAGGAATATCCGCGAATATTACAACTTCTAGACGAATATCCAAACCCCGGATATTCGGAAGACACGAATCTGAATCTGAATATTAAAATCACGGATCTAACGAATCTGAATTCGGATATGGATATTCTAATTTTCCTGGATATCCATATCCATTCTACCCACCTATATCGACGAGAGGCCAAACTTCTTATTTATATGGAGGGTCTAGACCGTCTATACATGCAAATAGAGTGGTTAAGCCTGGTTTAAGACATAAAAATATATAAAGTTATATATATATATATTGATAAAGATATTTACATTTTTAGATATACTGCTAAATTTAGAATTTAGAATTTATTTTAAAAACCAGATTAAGTTATTACTATTTAAAAATGACAGTTTACATTGTTAAATATACCATTAGTATTTCTTAAATTGAGTTGAAATATAATTTGAGACAGGCGGCCTAACATGTAGGGCTAGTGGCCTACTAACACGTCACACTAGTCCAAGACTTCCAAAAGTCAGGTTACAAACTACAGTCAATGGTTTAAGGAGCTACATACATTCACGACTCTTTCTAAAATCAACGAATTAATGATGTATTAAAAATGAAGGAGCGTGTGTTACAAAAAAAAAAAAAAGAAGAAGAAGCGTATTAAGTTGCATAAATTACATGCACCCGTGTTTTTATTGTGAAGAAAAGATATGCAGGTAAGTTTGAATATCATTGAAGCTGCTTAATGCGTTCGACATGTTAGCTGCGTATAATATTACTGAAACATGTATTGAATCTATTGATATATCTTCTCCTCCATTCATTCGCTCCCTCTCCTGGTTCTCCGTAGCTCTCTCCCTCTCTCAAAGAAGCCAACAAAGCCAGAAAACATATTCTCCCATTGACAATTTATAAGAGACGTAGTCTAGATACGATCCACATTGACTCAGAAGTTGTATATTAAACTATTAAAGCGCCATGGCCATGGAGAAAAAGCTTTGTTTCATTGTCATTCTATCAATGTGTCTCCTAAATGTCGAATTCTCACGTGCACAGGAGGATTCTCCATCACCTGCTACCTCACCGAAACGTGCGGCACCAGCCCATTCTCCTCTGCCACCGTCTTCTTCCTCTTCACCGGAATCACATTCCTCTCCCTCACTATCACCATCACCAGCACATTCTCCTCTGCCACCGTCTTCTTCCTCTTCACCGCAATCACATTCCTCTCCCTCACCATCACCATCACCATCACCAGCACATTCTCCTCTGCCATCGTCTTCTTCTTCACCGGAATCACATTCCTCTCCCTCTCCCTCTCCATCATCATCACCATCACCATCACATTCTCCTCTGCCACCGCCTTCTTCATCACCGGAATCACATTCCTCTCCCTCTCCCTCACCATCACCCGAAGGTGTTTCTCTTCCGGCACCAGCTTCATCACCAGATTCTCCATCACCATCTCCTCAGCAGGAATCTCCCTCATCTTTTTCTCCCTCTCCTGACTCTCCTGAACCAGCACCTGCTCCTGCTCCATCAGAAGACGATGCAGATGATGATTTAGATGAGGAGGAGACAGAGGATATCCCTTCTCAGACCCCCTCTCCTGGACCGGAAGAAGAAGGTAAACCAGAAGACATCAAAGCAAGCGAGAAAGCAAGCGAAGAGAAAGCAAGCGAGGATGGCGAATACGAGTATGAGGGAAGCGATCGCGGGCTGAGTGGATGGCAGAAAGCAGGGATCACCATTGGAGCAATAATTGGAGTAGGAGCCATTATAATAGGAGCTCTCGTTTACAAGAAACGACAAGATAACTTGGCAAGAGCTCGTTACACTTACTTTAACCAATCAGAGTTTCTTTAAACCAAGCTTTCTTTTGTCTTTTTGGGAGAAAAAAAAAGAAACATATACTAAAATCCTTACATTGTGTTTTTTGTTTTAATGTAAAAAAAACGACAATAGATGTTGTTTTGGCGAGATACATGATGAGTCTTGTCATCCCTTATAAAAAAAATAGTTTATTATTACCTATTGAGGAGCATTACCATTTCGCAGTGGTCGGTGTGAGGGAAAAGGTCAACGGCCATGGCTTTGACAGGCTTAAAAGGCTCAGAAGCAGGCATTTTCTTGGCTCTGTGTCTAGCCAAAGCAGCAGTGCCCATCCTGCTCTGTCTTCGGTAACCTTTGTTCTCTTGACCCGTTTTCTCGAATGACGGCGTGCAAAGCTCTATTGCATTTGCCACTAGCGTTTCAGGGTTGCATGAAATGTACCTGTAGAACCAATGCAATAGAAAAACTGTGATGTTAAAACCAAACATAAGAGAGGAAACAGAGTCGATAAGTGTTATAGGAGAAGGAAACTAACACAAGCGTCTTTAACCGTGGATGGGTTCTCAGAGCTTTGATTACATCTGGATGAAGTCCAGGACGAGGTGGATCCACTATAGCAACTACGTTTTTGAACTGTGGTTTTGTAGATCGTTCCGGCTCAGAGGAGGAGTCCTTATGCTCATTCTTTTGAACTTCTTCTTGAATGTTTGCAGGAGATACATCCTCTGAGTTTGAGATTTCTTCTGCTGAGGAATTTTGTTTGTCGACATCATCACTTAAAGGTTTGGCTTCTTCAGTTTCGGACATATCTAGGTATTCTGTAAGCAGAGAGCTCATCACATCCTCTGCCTGTACAAAAATTAAAGCCAACGAACACTACCATGAAGACGAGCCCATATGATTAAGATAAATAAAACCAACTACAAGATATGTTATTGTCAAACACATGCCTTTGAACAAATGAACTTGCAGTTGCTTATGCCATTGATCTTTGCATTCCGTTCCGCATCTGATACAGCCGAAGCATTCATTTCTATGCCAATCACCTGTAAGACAGAGCTTAAGAGATTTAGTACCGAACCTACTCACTTTCATAGGTTAGTTCAACCAAATCAGCAATAACGATAAGGGTTGGGTATTACCATGCCAACACGATGTGCCAGTGTAAGACCGATTGTTCCAGTTCCACAGCATACATCAAACAGTAAAGTGTCAGGACCAAGATCAGCCCAGTCTCCAGCAAGTGAATATAACTTCTCCGCGGCGCATGTATTAACCTGGATCAATCATTTTATAGCTGTTAAAACACACTGCTTTGACCAAATTATCAAAGATGCATCGATCCTGAAGATTCAGCTATCACCTGAAAGAATGCTGTTGGGGATATGCTGAACCGAAGGTTGTTGATATGATCGTGAATCCGAGCTTCAGTCAAGACATTGGTGGATTGGTCCTGATGTGTTCCATTATCTGACACTGGAATAGGCAGCAACCGTAGTGGACAATCTGGTGGTGCAACATTTGATATTCCTACGTGATCCTGAGCAAGAAACAATAGATATAGGTAATGATAAAACTGGACTACATAAAAATACAAAATGTATTATACAATTTGTTTTGGATTTAGTAAAGAAAAAAAATGTGAGGAGAAGTAGTTACTTGAACAACTAATACAGTCAGAGGAAGAGGTGGAGAGCTTGCTCTAGCTCCTTCAGCAAATGCTTTGGCCATTTCTTCAAACTCAGTTGCTACTTCTGCCTCCTCAGTATCCGTAGTACAAACCTGAATAGTTTCATGTGAGATAGAGAAATCAAAACAAGAGATAAAAGATAAAACCATCCGAGTCAATGAACTGAGATACAAACCTGAACCATTAGCATAACCTCTGCAATTCTTGAATCGGCATCTTCATCATTTGAAAACACGCCGGGTTTGCTTCCTTCTCGAACCTAATATGTTTGAGCCAGGTGAAAAGAAATATAAAATTAGATAAGTCATGGTAGAGCTATATAACATAACAGCGTATCCTGTGTAATACACATACCGTCAACTGTCGCCAGAACCCACAGCTTTTAAACCTATTCCAAACAGGGAGCCTTGATTTTTCTAAGAAACTCTGAAAGATGGAAGCGTAGCGGCAAGCAAGTTTAGAGATATTGGGACAGTTCACAGCTTCTTCCACTGCTGTCACACCCGCACTGGAAAGAAGATTTTGCATTAGTTCTTCCCATGATTATGAAAAAAGTAAACACAAGTCTTAGTGTAGAAACTATATACCTAAAATTTCCGAGCATGAAGCCAACAGTTAACTTCCCCTCAACGGAATATCCAGTTGAGAACTCACACTTGTTCCTGTAACCATTCACAAGCGGTGATTCTATAATGCCTTCAAGCTTACATGAAAGTCCACCTGAAATGGTTTAATGTATAAATTAAAAGACTAATCCAATCAAAATGGAGATCAGCAGCATTGGACTTTGTATAGTGGTTTTTACCTATTTCTCTAGACTGAAGGACCCATTCTGGAAGTGATTTTCCATTTGGACAAGCTTTACGCGCATTCCTCGTCTGCCAAGAAATACATTTCCAACAAAAATCAGTCTGCTAAAGTTGAGATAACTAAAAGTAATCGTAAAAATATGAAAGAGAATATGAGAATGTTCCTGACCAGTTTTTTGAGCATTTGCATGATGGAAGCTTTCTTCTGTTCAAGTTGCTCTGCGTAGGACAAGTCTGCCAAGGGAGTCACAGCTTCCCGAGCACTTTTGAGTTTAGCAGCTGGATTTTTCGCTCCGTTCTTGTCAAATGTACGGGGAAGGACATCAGCGATCTTCAAACTCTTGTTGTTAACATTTTTGCCTTCTAAAATCTGCAAATATTCAACAGACTCTAAACAAAAGAAGAAAACTAGACCTAAGAAAGGTAACAAAAACAACAAAATTTCACCTCCACGCCGCTTTGCAATTGTTCTGCATTCTCAAATGTCAGGAAACCAACCATCATTCCTCGTCTTTTCTTCGCAAACTTATATTCAACTCCCTGAGAAATGAATGAATCAATCATCAAATATATCCAAAGATCAATTTAAATACAAAATGATCCCAGAAACTAAATCCAAGAGCAAAGCATCAATCTTTACTCTAAAAACTAATTCAATGGTTATGTTCCAGATTCTATAACTTAATAAAGACTAAAACGTTACTCTAGAGAATTAAACAATGGTTCTATTTGTGATTTTAAAACCTAAAGACTGAAACTTCACTCCCGAGACTTAATCAATGGTTATTTCTGTGTTCCTAAAATCGTAAGACTACCTTTACTCTAGAGAGCTAATCAATGGTTATATTTGTGATCCTAAACCTAAAGATTAAAACTTTACTTTAGAGAACTAATCAATGGTTGTATTTGTGATACTTAAGCCTAAGACTCTACTCTAGAGAATTAACTAATAGTAATATTCCAGATCTTAAAACCTAAAGACTAAGACTTCACTCTATTGGTTATGTCTGAAATCCTAAAATCTTAAAGACTAAGACTTCACTCTAGAGAAAGGTCATCTTTTTTTGAGATCTTAAACTTTACCTGCTCTCGGAGAAAGGTCTTGAGATCATCAGACTGCCATTTAGTGGGTAAATGCACCACACATTTACTTAATGACAGATCATGAACAACACCATCACCACCCCCTTCACCCTCGTTATCATCCAACATCTCCTCCGTGAACATAACATCACCACCCACCTCTTCCTCCTCCGCGGACTTCACAGCGTTCTCCGCCATCATCTTCGCCTTCTTACCTCGCTCCGAGGTCGGGTCCCACGTGCTATCCGGTTTCTGACGGAGCTCTTTCTCCCCGTGAGCGTACTTGCACGTGTCTCCATGGCTGCACGAGCCCTGGCGCCTGAAGTATGAGCAGAGACTCGTCTTGAACCACGGCGAAGGAGTGGGAGATTCGAGATCGGTGGTCTTCTCGTCTTCGTCGTCGCGCTTACGTTTCTCACCCACGGATTCGACGGGAGCGGGAGAGATATCGGCGGAAGGAAGCTCGGGGATTGATGGTGGCGCCATTGGAATGTCAACAGTTGGAATTGGATCAGACGGAAGCTGGGATGATTGGGTTTCGGCGGCGGAAGAAGACGCCATGGGCAGTGTGGGTTATTCTTTTCGGAAGTGGCGGAGTTTCAAATATGTCCATCAGACATTCAGACCTTAAAACCCTACCGGCTTACAATTCTTTTTTTCCAACATTATTATTTTATTAATACACTTTATAAAACAGAAAAAAAAATATATCTTTATATCAAAAAAAAAATTCATAAGAAATTGGCAGGAAAAATTATATTATTAAGAATCTAACCATACAGAACGAAACTCAGACCATCTCCATCTATACTATTAAAACACAAGGCCCTTTTTTGAGGTGCCCTTGGTTTTCAATAGTAATTACAGATTTATGCCACTATATTATTTTTAGGCTATGATTTGTATCAATAGATTTTACCCGATGAAAATGGGTTTGACCCGATTCTATTAAATTGACAAAATCTTACGGTTGTTTAGTTGTAAACAAATATGCACCGAATCCCTAAGAATATGGAACGACATCTATTTAGCTTGATTTTATATTTTTTTTTTGCTTTAAATTTGTAATTAAAGTTACGTATAGTAGAAGTTTATAAATTAAAAATTTCAGGATTTCTATGTACAGATTCCATTGATATTTTTAATTGCTTTGGTTATCATTATATATTAAATCAAATCATATCACACGGGTCCCTCATGTTTGACCCGTTGCAGGATAGATGCGGGGCGATCAATTTGAGAAAAGTAAGTTGCGGATGCGGATATAAATTAAGTGTATTTTATTCGGATGGGATACGGGTTGGTTTTATTTATATCGCGGATACACGCTAATCCACAAAGATAGAAAAAACAATTTCCTAAAAATGGGTTATTTTTTTAAAATATAATAATTTTCGGTAAAATGAATTAAAAATAAAAAATAAAAAACTAATTAAAAAAAATATCAACCA